AAACCTGCCGCTTCAGCTTATCCGGCATCCTCGTGCTCGGCGAGCGTATCGGCCAAGGCCGCGTCTCTCTCCAGCGCCAACCTCACGCCGGCGAAGGTCTCTCGCTGCCCTCCAGACACTCCGTCACTTACATTGCACCTTGACCCTCTTCCCCTCGTCTCCCACAGTCAGGATCTTGGACCCAAACTCGACCCCCAGCGTCGGCTCGGCATTCGCAAACTTGTCGTCTGTGAGGCGCACAAGGAGGCACGACTTGCCGACCGCCGCGTCGCCGACAATCACATACTTCAGGATACTGTCCGGTGGGCGGGAGGCGTGCGCGCGTGAGAGCATCGATGCCGAGTGAAAGAGCGATGGGGCGGGTGGGGCGCAGAGCGTGGTTGTTGTTGTTGGGGCGGGGGTGGGGACGTGCGGCGCGGCGATACCCGATAAACGTGATGAGCGCAACGGAAGGTTGAGAAAGCGAGATTCCAGTGAGTGATGATAGCAGTGGAAAGCGATGCCAAGATCAATCATGCCAGTCGAGTAACGCAGATAAGGCAGGAGGCAGGGCGAGTCGAGTCATTGTCGCGTGAGGATCGCAGCGTCAGTAACCTAGTTCCACCAGCCCTCTCGTGTGTGAACTCACTAGTCCCTGTCTGTTAGCTAGGTTCCGACTTTGTTAGCTTACCAAGTCAACTGGTCCATACTGTCCGCACTTGTCTTCGTGAGTAGTGAGCAGGAGTATAGGTGTGATGATGAGTGGGATGAGTGGGATCCGATGCGATCGGGACCCGCGCCTGGCGTAATGTCCACCGGTCAAGCGATCCAGAGCTCATGTGAACGGTGGCGAGGGCGCGCGTGGGAGAGCTGGCTCCGAGACGATCATGTCACGTGACTGAACCGGGTACCTGGGCCCGGACCGCTTGATGGACCGGAGTTGGGCGCTGGGAATCTGGTCGAGGACACACCCTGATGCCTCCAACGACCTCGCACGCCGAACTCATCGCCTGTATATGGTGCTAGACAGCGATACGACTGATGTAGCAGGGCATTCGAGAAGCGCACTTGGACGATAATGATCGAGGCGGTTTCGGACATTGCCCTCATCTGACTGTGAGAGAGAGAGAGCGCCCCTCGTTCACGAGCTCTCCGTTGATCGTTGACGTGTGCTGTTCTTCGCCGGACAGAGTTCGACCTCGCTGTTAATGTTCGCAATATCACTTGCCACTCCAGCCTCCTGTTTGGCATAGCGAACGTGCAACACAAGGGCTCCCCGGTACCCCAACCGCAGATCAATTGGCACCCGACAAGAGCTGAAGAGCGGAGGAGCGGAGTCGACAAACCGCAACGAACCTAGCTTCGTGGAGCGGATATCAACAATGAGGGATCGCAACGCACGCAACGCAGCAAGCGGCGGGTTTCTTCGCCTGCCGGTTATCAACGTTGACGATGAAGCGCACAGTTCTCCAAGATACCCTGAGGAGGTAAGCACCAACCGTCCTTGACGTCGAGCTGGCCAAGTGGAGCTCTCAGCTGACATTTAGGTGAACGTCTAGAAGCGTTTCCTGGTCAACTGCGATCTTTGCTCGCAGGAGGCATCGTCTCGACCCTCCGGCGTTGCCTTCTACGCCACGCCGTGGAAAGGGTGCCTGACCCAACTATCCATGGTCAGCTGCATTATTACCAGGCGCAGGTGCGGTCCGCTCAAAGAGCTTGCCTTGCTTCTCAGAGCTGCGCACTGAGCGTTTGCATTGCCGGAACGTTCCTCCGCCGGTTACAGCAGAGCTGATCGCCGCGCTCACGCCGTGACGACATATATGACCTCAAACGTGTCGCCTCTTTGCCTCATCACCAATCATTCCCGACCACCAATGCCCACTGGTGAGTGGAGTCCCAAGCTCATGCTGCTTGCACGCCAGGTAGTGGGCGCGGCGAAGCCTCTGCAAAGCTACCTTGGTCCACGGACATATAGCTAACCACAGCCGCCGCGGAGATCGAAGTCGACGTCCAGCTGTACCAAACCTTCGCCGCACAGCTCGGCCTCGAGACCAGGACCAACCTCCTCCTGCGCGAGTGGTACCGCCACGAGGTGGGCTGCGAGCCCAGCACGCCGATGCCGTACACCGAGGGCGTCACTTCGGCCGACACTTGCCCCTCTGTCGAGGCGAGCGACGACCTCAAGTCCAAGCTGTACGACAAGGTGCAGAGCCTGTGGCACCTGCAGGTCGAGCGCAACCGTCTCGACGCCGAAGGTTTCGTCCACCGCTTCGGATACGAGCCGCGCACGCCCCTGCCGTACACCGAGGCCGGGGTTGGCGAGAACGTCGAGGCCAAGGACGCCGTCGCCCTCCTAACCGGCGTGCACACCGCGCTCGCCAGTAGCTGGTTCCTCCAGGTCGAGAAGAACCGTCTCCTGCGTGAGGCATTCGTCGTGCAGTTCGCTGCCGACCCCGCCAGCCCCATGCCGTACACCGACAATGGCACCGTCGATGAGAACGCCCCGACTACCAGCGAGGAGGACGCCGTCGCCGCCCTCCACGACGCCATCGGCCAGAGGCTCGGTCTCCTCGTTCGCCTCCACGACGAGTGGGGCGCGCTCTTCAGCGAGACGTTCGCCATGCAGAACGGACAGCAGTTGCCCCCTCTTAGTACCTAAGACATATGTGGAATCTGACCAATGTGATCATCGTCTATCTATCATGGCCGACATGCATTACAGTAGCATGAGAAGCGCAGTGATCTCAGCATCAACGTGCGCTGCAGCATTAAGGCAGGCGACAAAGCGACCAACCTGCTGACAAGAGACAGGCGGCAGGTACGGGCTAACTGCGACGAGATACTGAGCCCGTCACATCTTCTGATCCCAGCTCATAATCTACCTCTCGTTCTAACTAAAACCTCTCTGACGCCTCTCTTCCTACGGATAGATCACTCCTCTTGGACGGCGCTTTCTCTACACAACACTTTCCTTCAGTGACGCTGCTCTCAGCATCTCGATCCTCCTTTCTCACATCGAGTCTGTCCCCAGAGCTTGCCCCGATCCTGCCGTGCTCTCGGTGTCGACTATACTCTGATTTAAGAGCCTCTGTAGCAAGGATGCGATGCATAGCTTTGTGCCAAGCCCCAAGCAAACAACTTTGTCGCAGCGGAGTTGCCGGAACCGTCCCGGCCCTTCAGGGCTATTAAGATGTTGCCGATCATCGCCCTGAGCATCGCCCTCTTCGTTCCGCTTGACCGCGCAGCGACCAACGCCCTTGCTTATTCACTCCGCTGTTGGCACCGCCGCGCCGAAGGGCGCACGAGCGCGCCCCCGCCGTTGCTCACATCAGCAGCATTCGGCAAGATGGCCGAGCGGTCTAAGGCGCTGTGTTCAGGTTCCTCTGCTCCTCGAGCAGTAGAGCTTCGCAGTCTTCGGGCGTGGGTTCGAATCCCACTCTTGTCATAAGCGAACGCGAGTTCGCAACTTGGAAAGCTGTCCTTTTTCTATGCGAATCAGTGTAGGCTCTGGGACAGATAACGGATGCGTTGACTCCGCTACAGGGAGTGATGGTCTGGGAGGGGTCTTCGGTCATGCGCGACCGCTCTCGGTTCTGCTGTCGCCTCCGGGCTATTTCAACCTTCATTTTACGCTGCTTCCGTGCAAGGATTGGATGCAGGCGCAGAGAGTATCCGAGATAAGCTCAGTGCGGTGCTGAAACACATGAAATCGAGGTGCAGTGCCACGGACGCAGATCGCAGTTGCGCCCCTCCTGCGCAGGCGATTGTGGCACCGCAACTCGATCGTCCACCCAACACCAACCGACTTCGACTCGCCATATCTCACTCGTCCAGTCTCAAAAATGCAATCTGCGACCTCCTGTGGATGCGTAGAGGAGGCAAAAAGTGTTACCTGGACGACTTAGGAATCGAACCAAAGACCTCGTCAATGCTAGCTAGATGCTAATGACGCGCTCTACCAACTGAGCTAGACGCCCCCAGGTGCTTGCTGATGTTTGCGAGAGCAGCGCAGGACAAAGTCCTGTCGAAAAGCACGTGGAGGAGAGGAAAGAGTGACAGAGAAGCGATGGATTGCTCTGCAGTTATCGCCAGATGCAGACTGAAAGTTCGTCAGGGTTCAGGTGTTCTGCCCGCTCAGAAGCTATCCTGGCGAGCGTTGTTGCGTCAGCGGCTGGTTCAGGGAGTTTAGAAACCCGCAGCAGCGTCTGCACTGCGCTGTGCACGAAGGAGTGCGCGCGAACGTCGAGAGTTTAAGAAGATCGTCATGGTAGCGCATGCCAGTCACATGCCTAATTCAGCAATATGCCGTTAATTCACCCTGGTGCCTTCTCATTCTCTCCGCAATCCCTGCCCCGCAAGGTCGGCGTGCGT